GTCGTCGTCGTCGTCGTCGTCGTCGTCGTCGTCGTGTACTCTTTTACTTGTCGAGGCGAAACTATCACGGCGTTGACCCTACGCTCGGCCGGATAATCGACTGAAAATAACCCCAAGAGACACGGGACCCCCCTGGTTCCCCGGGCGCAGCCTGCCGAATACAAAGTCGGTGCATCTGTTCCGTTGTTCGTGAAAAGAACGGAATGACTCCGACAATTAGAGAGCAGAAATCCCGGCGAAGCGCTTTTGCGAGCTTCTTCTTTTCTTGCTCACGCGATCGCGGAGATTGCGCCTGGCTGCGATGGGGTGGAATGGGCCAGATTAAATCGGTCGGAGGAACGATTACGTCGCGTCTGGATGGAAATAATGCGCACGGGGGCTGGCACTCGCTACCGTGAACCAAAAAAATTAGAATCTCCTTTGAGTTTCTTTCACCATAGACGATTACTGCCTGAATGTTAAGCATCAATGGAATACTCTTGCTTGTGTCAGTAATATTTGTTTGGATCGAGTTGAAAATGATTTACCTCGTAGTTTGACAAAATCGATCGTGAAGGATTCTTGAATCCTTGAAATTTCAAAGTAGATTATAGATTTGACTCGTTGGCGAGATTTTTCGAATTGCAATGATACATTCGACGCTCTGATGCTTCTACCCCTTCATAAACTAATTTGTTCAACCAATGTTAATATTCTCAGTCTTGATTATCATAATTCAATATAATTGCTTTATTTCTAGAAGTCATGACCTCCGTGTTGCTGGCCAATAAGATTATTTTTCTCGTTTCTTGGTGAACGTTTCGACTTGAAAATTTCAACTAAATCAACTGAGTCAAATATCTAGCACACAGACACTGATCTTCCTGTCATCAATCAAGTAAATAATATTTCCAAAATTCCATCGATGTACAATCATCTCGAAGGAGATTGAATATTCGATTTGGCCAATGGCTACTGTGCCTGTGGTACCACTTGTAATTAAATGCACCATTAAGTGGGCTTCGACGAACGCGGAGAGTTAACCCTGTCACAATGGAACGGGGAACGTAAACAACGAGAAGCCAGGCTTTGTCATCTAATTCACGAGCACGGCGTATGGGCAATGGCCGTGACAAAAGACACATTTAGCTAAATGCAACGCGCGAGCTCGTATGCCGCATTGTTTTGATCCGGTTTGAGTGGGTACAATTAGATCACGCTACCGGGCGCTGTAGTTTCGACCCCCCATCGAGTCAGTGGGGGCCCCGATTGGCTTCGTTGTAGGCCAACGCGGTATCAGGCCAGTTTTAGCGTGCAATGATGCATCCGTAGCGTGTCGCGAATCTCTTTTCATCGATCTGATGACCACCTAGTCCATTCGTGCGGTAAGTGGATAGAGTGGACTATCCGGTGGTGCCTTGTTGGACATAGTGCCTGGCTACAGAAGGGGATCCGTTCATTTAATACTCGCCGCTCTTTTTCTCCCTTCGCGTTTCCCCACTCTTTTGTTTCTCCGACATGCCTTTTCTCTCTTCCTTTTCTCTTTCTTCAGCAACCGCCAAATGAACATCTGAGAAGCCAAACTGGTCATTTCTGCTGCTCACTAATCCCTTCATTTCATTACGTAAATGCACGATTAATATTCAATTCTCAGAGAACGGAGGACTTGCTTGCATTCAAGTTTACCAGTAACAGAAGTACGTTGTTTGAC